AGAACTTTTTCATCATACAAAACTGAAACTCTGTATTTATTAAAAAACAACTTCCCATTTCCCCTTCTTCTGAGCCCCTGGTGACTGTCATTCTACTTCTATTTATATGAATTTGACTACTTTAGATACCTCATATAAATGGATACAGTATTTGTCTTTTTGTGACTGGCTTATTTCACTTGGCATAATATCCTCCAACTTATCAAATCTAAATGAGGGCTGGTTTGCCTCTGGTTCAACACCTCTTGCCAAGTAGATGTAGCCCTTTGGGGTCCCAGCTACTTGTAGAAGGGTCTCTAGTTAGTGTTCCACCTCGGCCAGCCTTGGACTTTGATTTCTTTGATTTCAGGAGATCGTTAAAATGAAAGTTCCAACTTGCCAGAATCATTCAGTGTTTTGAGGGCAAGAGTGGCTTCTCGAGAGCTCATCTCTCTGGGTTCCCATTTTCCTTAGTTTTGGCGTGGTTATTCTTTACTCAGTTGTTGATGCTTCAGTGCTTTTCAGATTTTTTTTTTTCAATATGGAATTCATTGTTAATTATTTTCAGTAGAATGATGGGCCTGATAATGGAGCCTGCCTTCACAGACACCAGACCTGCGGCGTCAGTTTGTCAATGTTGCCTCTGCCACCCCCATCCATTCTGGGGCTGGACGTAATTAATCGTTAGCACCACTTTGAGTATGACCAAATCAGACTTTTGCTTAAACGTATGTCTGGCAGGAAATCGTCCTATGTGACAATGTGAGCTATAGGTCCTCCCCTCACTAGACTCAGGAGTCAGTGTTAAAACCCAATGTCATGTGGTCTGCTGGTAGCTTTAGAAGAAGGAGACCTGTTGGGAAGGAAATTTCCTTTTTTGGCGTTTCATTCAGTTCCTGAGGGCTTGAGATAAGGATGTCTCTTTTTTTTGAGCCTGGTTATAATTGAGTTTGGATAGTAGAAGGCAGGAGGCGAGTTACTTTTTTATGATGCTAGATTGTCAGGTGAATAATGAGACTCCTCATTCCTCCTCAGTGCAGCTGGTCACATGCTGGTTGTTGAGAATGGAGCTCTTAGTTCCTGGGAAAGCTGTCCGTGAAGGGGCACGGGGGCAAGTACCAAGGCCAGGATAAGCAGTAATAAAGAGCGTACGTGACATGCTTGAGGAAGCAGCTTGCTGTGGTGGGAAAGGCATCAGGACATCAGCGTCAAAAGCCCATATCTGTCTCCTTGGCCTCCTCCTCATTCAGTGCTGTGGCCTTGGACAAACCACACAATCTTTCTGGGCAACAGTCAGGTGCTTTTTCTCTTGATCTTGGCTGTCCTGCAAGCCTGTAACTGTGAGAAGGTCAGTTTTGCTGGCCCTGGCAGCCAGCCACTAGGAGGACAGAGAGGAGGGGGCTTGGAGTGGTCCCCAGAAGGAAGGTGTGACTGCTTGATGGGTTGTCTAGAACTCAAACCATGGACCCTGGTTCTAGTACACCCAATTATCCAGCAATTTTGGTCCTACAAGCAGTCTTTGTTTCTCTAGTCTAATCCCCTCATTTTGCAGATGAGCAAACAGGGCCCTGAGATTTTCTTTATTCTTTTCTTTTTTTTTTTTTTGTGAGGGAGATCAGCCCTGAGCTAACATCCGTGCTAATCCTCCTCTTTTTGCTGAGGAAGGCCAGCTCTGAGCTAACATCTATTGCCAATCCTCCTTTTTTTTCTTCCCCAAAGCCCCAGTAGATAGTTGTATGTCGTAGTTGCACATCCTTCTAGTTGCTGTATGTGGGATGCGGCCTCAGCATAGCCAGAGAAGCAATGCGTCGGTGCGCGCCCGGGATCCGAACCCGGGCCACCAGTAGCGGAGCACGCGCACTTAACCGCTAAGCCACCTGGCCGGCCCCCCTGAGATTTTCTTGTATTTAAAAAGTAGTAGTGCTGCTTTCACCTCACATGGCGGATTTTAGTGAGGAAAAAAAAAAAAAAAACTAGTGAAGTGGAGCCAGGCTCTGGTCAGTGTGGATTTGGGGGAGTTTCTCTAAACCTCCGAAGCCACTGCCTGAGCTCTGGAGAAAGACATCAGCAATGGTGAGCCAGATTGCTTGCCCCATGCTGGCCATCTGGCACCCATCTTTCCATGGGGCCCAGCTCAGGCCCTGTTGGCTGACACAGACCTTGAGACAGTCTGATCAGAGATCACCAGAGGTCCCTTTAACAAGCAAGTCAGGGGGCCCGACTGTGTGTTGGAGGATTGGGCAAGTAGGCTCCTGATGGCCCTTCCTGGGCAGGTGCCAGCTCACTGTTCCCTGGGGCCTTGCCACAGGCTCCTGGATACACTGCTGTTTTCACCCTTAGGGCCTGGACTGGGCCTGACTTTGCCTGCGGATTCCCAGGCAATCCCACCCTCAGCTACAGACGAGCCTCTCCACTCCTGCCTTGCTCCCCAGAGGACCAACCTACACTGTTCAACCCCAAAATCATGCTCTCTGTATTTGCACCTGTGCCCACAATCACCTTAACTTGTAGCCACCACTCCCGTGAAGCACCCTCAGAACAGCAGAGCCTTGCAGATCATCCTTTATGTTATTAAAGTCATTGAAATGAAGCTTATTTTTCAGCCTACTGAGAATTACCAAGTACCAGACTTTCTTTTTAAATTACCTCTATAATTTTCTTTTTAATTTACTCTTATAAAAAACTGGGTGACAGTTAAATGAAAAACGTGTTGCGCTTGGTATTTTTTTTTTCACTAAGCCTACAGACCTGTGGCTTAAAGATAACAGGGAAGGATTGTCCTGGACCTGAGGCTGTCTTTTTAGCTTGCTGCCAGCTCCTGGATTTAAATTGCTTTGTCTGACCGATAGAAATCATTTCCTTTTCCTGGATCCAGTGGGGCTAGGAGAACCTGAGGGTCGTGAATGAGCATGGGTAAAACTCTGTTGGAAAGTTTTTATGAAAGTAATTTCTCTGAAGTATTGATATTGAGAATGTGTAGTTTCAAGATGTGTCCTTGTTGTGGCTGGGCCGTTGAACTGTGATTCTTGTCATCATTGGGTTTATTTCCTGTTTCTAGTGATCCAGGATCACTATTTCCTGCTGCCGCCCCCCCCCCCACCGCATTCATATATTTGAACGTGAATGTTTGGTGGAAGACTTAAATATAGGAGTTCTTCAAATTAAAGAAATAAGCAAGCAACATATTGTTGTTTATGGTAGATTACTTATATAAGTGTATTATGTTAAGTTGTATACAATCACCTGTAAACATAAACGTGGGGTTTTAGATTTGGAAAAGACTCTTGATCCCCTATTTTACAGACGAAGATTCTGAGACCCAGTGTATTCTTGGCTTGTTCAAGGTCCCAGAGTCAGCTGGAAAAGGAGCAAGTACCAGAAGCCTTATTTCCTTGTCACAAGGCTGCTCTTTCCACTTTTGCATGATGCCTTGCTTGTACCGACGGTCTCCCACTGTTCCCCAACACCCACCCTCTGTCCTGCAGGGAGAGAACAGGCCCACGTGGCAGGACACACCATGCCCATGCTCATCTTCATGCTTTTGTTCCTTCTCTCTAATCATGCCCATTCCGTCACAGCCTACTCATCAATTTAAAAGACTGAGTAAGTGTCCTACCTCCCACACTGATCTCACCCTCCTCAGAATGCTGAAGTCCACTCCTCAAGTGTGTTTTAGCTCTTTTGACAGGGTCTCTTTCTAGCTTGTGGTGTTAATTTCAATCTTGTAGGGCCTGTCATGATGCCTGGTGCCCAGTAAATGGGCCTTAAGTGAATAAGGAGAGAGGTAATGTCCTAGATGTCACAAGGTGGGCTTGGTGTCTTTTGTTTTTCTGCCCAGCTTTTCAGGTGTCTGTCTTCTCTCTAGCTAGCTACTAAGCTCCAGAAGGGAAGAAAGCATAACTTCCATGTCTCTCACCATAGCCCTTAGCAGTCTTCTTGGTTGGTGGTGAGTTAGGACGTTGATACTTCATTTTCCTGCCCTTTGAATCTTGGATTCAGTTTACCATATAAGTTTGCTTTATCCTGAAGCCTCAGAAGATGGCCATGTCTTGATGGCTGCCTAAATACTCTCGCCTTATGGTACCTACCATTTGGGGAATAAAGAAGCCAACAGGTCATAGCAGTTAGCTTACAGATTTCCCTTTCCGCCCTTGGATACTTTGCTACTTATTTGCAGTGGCAAGATACTATGAGTGTTGGTGGAAGATGCAAGCCAAATAATTGTTAGGATTGCTGTGAAAACTGCAATGGAAGCAATAACCCTCCTCGGTTAGCTTTTTATAGCAAGAAAACCACTGGTGAAATTTTTGCTCCAAGATCCTTAAAATCAGCAGGATGTTGCATGTTATCCTGTTAGACTTCTGAAGTAATGCTGGTAACATCTATTGTGCAGGTATTTCAAGGCTTGAAATACAGATTTTTTTTTTTTTTGTGAGGAAGATCAGCCCTGAGCTAACATCCATGCCAATCCTCCTCTTTTTGCTGAGGAAGACTGGCCCTGAGCTAACACCTATTGCCAATCCTCCTCCTTTTTTTGTTCCCTTTTTCTCCCCAAACCCCAGTAGATAGTTGTATGTCATAGTTGCACATCCTTCCAGTTGCTGTATGTGGGACTCAGCCTCAGCATGGCTGGACAAGTGGTGCGTTGGTGCACGCCCGGGATCTGAACCCGGGCCACCAGCAGCGGAGCGTGAGCACTTAACCGCTAAGCCACTGGGCCGGCCCTTGAAATACAGATTTGCTGATAGAAATGAGCCAGTTAAGAGGGAGGAAACGATTACTCAGATGTTGTGAAGTAAGACAGATTGTATGGCGGATATAACACTGGTTTGTAGTTTGCTCATAAAAGAGAATGTCTAACTGGAATTTATCTGGTGAAAATGAAACCATTAAACCTGCTCAAGTGAAAAACAGTGGCCATCTGCCAAGTAAAAGCGTAATCACCATTTAGAAGTGAGCTTCATCTGTACTCCTTTATGCACATGACAGTGTCTCCTATGGAGAAACCACTTTCTGACTTCTGGTTTTCTTGCTGTTTTCACAGAGCCTGAGCCCTTGTGAAGCTGGCAATGACAAGTCTGAATGGTCGCCATGCCGAAAAAATCATTGACATGCCAAAACCATCAGCCCCCAGAGTGCATGTGCAGAGGTCCGTGTCCCGAGACACTATCGCCATTCACTTCTCGGCATCCGGGGAGGAGGAGGAGGAAGAGGAGGAGGAGTTCAGGGAGTACCTCGAGGAGGGGCTGGACGACCAAAGCATTGTAACAGGGCTCGAGGCCAAGGAAGACCTCTGTTTTGAACCCCAGGGTGGCTATGACCCCGCTGGCCCTGCCGCTCAGCCTGTCCTGGCAGATGGACTATCTCCTGCCATTTTGCCCGTCTCCCAGAACACTGCAAAGCTGTTGGAGTCCCCTCCTCCAGCAGTGCAAGTATTAAGTACAGTGCCATTGGCTCTGTCCCCAGGGTCGTCTTTGTTGGGGCCCTTAGCTAGCTCTCCCAGTGTGTCCTCCCTTTCTGAGCAGAAAACCGGTTCTTCCTCCCCACTGTCCTCTCCTTCCAAGTCTCCTGTCCTCTCATCCAGTGCCTCATCCTCCACACTTTCCAGCACAAAACCCTTCATGAGCCTTGTGAAGTCCCTGTCCACTGAGGTGGAGCCAAAAGAATCCCTACACCCCTCAAGGCACAGACACTTGATGAAGACATTAGTCAAGTCTCTGTCCACAGACACCTCCAGGCAGGAGTCAGATACTGTGTCCTATAAACCGCCTGACTCCAAGCTGAATTTACACCTGTTCAAGCAGTTCACACAGCCACGAAACACAGGTGGAGATTCCAAAACTGCACCTTCTTCCCCACTGACTTCTCCCTCCGATACGCGCTCCTTTTTTAAAGTGCCCGAAATGGAGGCTAAAATCGAAGACACTAAACGACGCCTTTCAGAAGTCATATATGAGCCTTTTCAGCTCCTTAGTAAAATTATAGGGGAAGAAAGTGGCAGCCATAGGCCCAAAGCCTTATCTTCAAGTGCTTCAGAACTCTCCAATCTGTCCAGCCTGAACGGTCTCTTAGAAAGCAATAACAACTACAGCATCAAGGAAGAGGAGTGTGATTCCGAGGGGGATGACTATCCAGGCGATCCCAGCATCCCCAGAAGTGACCCCCCGAAGTCCACTGATGAGCCTGCAAGAGAGGCAGAACTGAAAAGTTCCCAGGTGAGCAGTCTAAAGGATTTAGGCCTGAAGACAAGTTCTCTAGTTCTTGAGAAATGTTCTTTGTCTGCCTTAGTGAGCAAAGAAGATGAAGAGTTTTGTGAACTGTACACTGAGGACTTTGATTTGGAAACGGAGGGGGAGAGTAAAGTTGATAAGCTCCCAGATATCCCTCTCAAGCCAGAGGTGCTGGTAGACGATGGCACGGCTCTTGACAGTGACGATGAGATGGCCTCCGCCGTGCAGCACCCGGAATTACCAGTGAAGACGCTGGGCTTCTTTATAATGTGTGTCTATGCGTACCTCATCCTTCCCCTCCCCCATTATGTGAATGGACTCTTTCTGGGAATTGGCCTTGGATTCATGACTGCAGTTTGCGTGATTTGGTTTTTTACACCACCAAGTGCTCATAAATATCACAGATTACGTAAAAATCTACAACACTGGAACACAAAATCTCTGGATATCAAAGAACCTGAGATACTAAAGGTAAGCCTCTCTCCAGCAGCTGGCTAGCACACGCTTTCTCTCACATAGAGCCTTATTTTAGATCCAGTTGAATTTTTTTAGTGAATTGTCACAAGCAATGTTTTTAAGCCTTCAGGATCTTCATTCTCCAGGCACCCAAGAGACTTATCTGGAAACCTCATTGTAGTTTAGGTTTTGCCGATTCACCAAGTTGTTTTTCAGGGATCTCCATGGTTCTGTAGAGTAGCATTTACATCCAGTTCCTATTTGAGTCTCTCTCTAAACTTGCCAGAGATTTCCTACTTGCTTAGGATTTGTTATAGCTGAGTCTGTTAGGATTAAATATTCTTGAGACCCTAGAGAAGGGTTAAATACTCCTGGAATGCAAGAGAAGGAAAGGAGGAAGAGAAGGCAAATTAATGTGAGCAGTTGGTCCCTGCTGGCACTCTTCTTTCCCCTGTGCACGATGGGGCATGGGCTGGAGAAAGAGACATCACCGTTCCGTGTGTGTCAGATCTCAGGCTTTAGGCCTCCTGAGGGGTTCCTGAGGCGATCCATCAGGGTGCGGGAAGAACATATTAGAACTTCCATTTACATTTATTTTTGTATATTTAAAAATTTTCTTGTTATTATATGTTTCATAATATACGCAATATAAAAGTATAGTTGTAGCTTATATAGTTCGTAAGTCATGGGCACATACACACATTTTATATATATATATATATTTTAATTGTGGTAAAATACACATAAAATATACCATCTTAATCTTTTTTTTTTTTTTTTTTGGTGAGGAAGATCAGCCCTGAGCTAACATCCATGCCAATCCTCCTCTTTTTGCTGTGGAAGACTGGCCCTGAGCTAACATCTGTGCCGATCTTCCTCCACTTTATGTGGGACGCCACCACAGCATGGCCTGATAAGCAGTGTGTCAGTGCGCGCCCGGGATCCGAACCCAGGCCTCCAGCAGCAGAGCGTGCACACTTAACCGCTACGCCACGGGGCTGGCCCCCGTCTTAACCCTTTTTAAATGTACAGTTCAGTGGTATTAAATACATTCACATTGTTGTACAACCATCACCACCATTCATCCCCATATCTCTTTACATCTTATAAAACTGAAACTCTATACCCATTAAACAACAGCTCCCCATTCTTCCCTCCCCCTAGCGCCTGGCAACCACCATTCTACTTTCTGTCTTTTTGGTTTTGAATACTCTAAGTATGTCATCATGTAAGTGGGACCATACGGTATTTGTCTTTTTGTGACTGGCTTATTTCACTTAGCATAGTGTCCTCAAGGTTCTTCTATGTTGTAGTATATTACAGAATTTTCTTCCTTTTTAAAAGCTGAATAATATTCCGTTGTATGTATATACTGCATTTTGCTTATGCATTCTTCTGTCAGTGGACACTTGGGTTGCTTCCACGTTTTAGCTATGGTGAATAATGCTGCTGTGAACATGAGGTATATAAATAATCTCTTTGAGACCTTGCTTTCAGTTCTTTTGGGTATATACCCAGAAGTAGAATTGCTGGATCATATGGTAATTCTATTTTTAATTTTTTGAGGAACCGCCATACTGTTTTCCGCAGTGGCTGTACCATTTTACTTTCCTACCAATAGTGCACAGGGTTCCAATTTCCCCACATCCTCACCAACACTTGTTTTCTGTTTTTTTGATAGCTTTTTGATAGTTCAAAGCTTGTTTCTTTTGTCTGTTAATAGGTTTTTCCTCATTTCTGTTTAAATAAGAATGCTCAAAAAATGGCACCATGATCTCTATTGCAAAAAAAAACAATAACAAAAAACCACATGGGGAAGAACTCTCAAGGTCCAAAATAGTGTTTGTTTTGTTTTGTTTTTTAATTTCATAAACTTTTTACTTTATTCAAAAGAAATACATGGTCAATGTTTAAAAAACACAGGAAACAAAGAAAAAATTTGTTCTTTATCACACTAGTGGGAGGGAATTATAGTTAATGATTTGGCATATATCCTAGTTTTGCTTTGTTCTTTAAATTTCTGCATGTATGAATATACACATGCCTACTCACACACTCTTTTTGTTTTGATATAATGGGATCATATAATTTTCAGTCTGACCTTTTTTCTTTCTTTCACATGGCAACATGTTATGTGCTTGTTTCTTTTTTAAGAGAAGCTGGTGTTCAGTCTTGAGGATGTGACACACTTAAGTTTAGCATTAATGTATGAAGTGGAGCTAAAGTGACTGATTATGCATGGTTGCTAAGCTTTTTCAGTAGGGTGGTGCTGTGACTACCTGAATTACGTGCCCTCTAAGTAAGTTAGTGCTGACTTTAGCACAGAAAAATGGTAGTTATATTAACTCCAGTGCCTAATGACTGACTGTGGCATTCAGTTTAAACTGGTTTGAGCACTTAGTTGTCTCAGGAAGATTTTAATTTTATTTTTTTATTTATTTTTTTTTTTAAAGATTTTATTTATTTATTTTTTCCCCCCAAAGCCCCAGTAGATAGTTGTGTGTCATAGCTGCACATCCTTCTAGTTGCTGTATGTGGGACGCGGCCTCAGCATGGCCAGAGAAGCAGCACGTCAGTGCGAGCCCGGGATCCGAACCCGGGTCGCCAGCAGCGGAGCGCGCTCACTTAACTACCAAGCCACGGGGCCGGCCCTCAGGAAGATTTTAATTTTAATCCAATCAGTCTTTAGTGTTGAGTCCAGTTCCTGCTATATGTCAAGAATTTACTTAACTACACTGGAGGATACCAGTGGAATGGGATTTTAATGTTATGGCACAGTCTGGCTGCTTTGATCTGGTCATTGAAATAGTAGAGGCAGCAGTACGATGCTGAGCACCTACAGTGGGCTAAGTGTTGGTCACATTATCTCATTTAATCCTTATCACAACCCTTTTCAGTTAGGGTATGTGCTCATGAGAACGTGGAGGCACAGGGAGGTTAAGTTACTTGTCCAAGGTCACATGGCTAGTGATTGGGGGAGCCATGCAGGACTAACTTTTTTTAACGAAGGTGTGTTGCCCTCGGTAAATGTATTTGAATTTTCCTTGTAGAGAACAAGTACTTCAATGGTGTCGTGGACTGACACCTGTAATCCAAGCAAATTGTTCGTTTTAGCCTGAGGTCTTTTGTTTGGCTGTTTTTAGAAACCTGGCTAAATATGTTCTGTATTTTAAAAAGAGACACTACTACGAATTAGAAGGGTAGGTTGTATGTTGCAAGCCAGAGATTTCAAATGCAAATATTTTGGGGCTTAATTAATTTTATTGAGCAGAAGGTCAGACTCTTTGGAACCATTTAAAAACTATGACACTTTAAAACATTTAGCAGTGTTGACATTAAATTTAGGACCCAAATGTTGTGATAAGAATAGGAAAGTATAGTGGAGTCTAACTTTGATCGTCTATCTTCTATTATATTTTCTTATTGTACATTGTGCTTTACTTTCTGTATGAAGTAGTATAACATTAGCTATTGTAACAAATTAGAAGTCTTTCTTGTCCCCATAGCAGTCCAGTGTGGGTGTTCCTGGTGGGTGGGTAGGTAGCCTTCTCTGCATGTTGATTCAGGGGTCCAGGTTCCTTCCATCTTGTGGCTCAGTAAACTTTTTCTTAAAGGGCCAGATAGTAAATATTTTAGGCTTGTGGGTCATACAGTTTCTGTTGCAACTATTAAACTTTTCATTGTAGCAGAAAAGCAGTATAGACAATATATAAATGAATAGCTTTTGCCTGTGTTCCAATAAAACTTTACAAAAACAGGCCTCAGGCCCAGTTTGCCCATCCCTGGCAAGAATATTAGAGCTCTTTGCATCCAGCTGGCAGAAGGGGAAAGAGAAAGCAAAGAGAAGGCATACCTACTGAAATGCCTGGACCCAGAAGTGGCACACATTACTTCCATTCACATTCCACTGGGGTGAGCTAAACACAGGGGCCCTCCAAAATGTCAAGGGCCCTGGGAAATCTAGGACTTGGCTGGGCAGCTTCTTCTCAGCAACAGCTCTACGCAAGGAAAGGGGTTCCCAAATTTTAAAGGCACAGCTAGCCTTCTCTGCCTCACTTTCATAGGACTTATCAGAGCTGTAGTTATATGTTTATTGTCTGTCTCCCCCAGTACACCATACACTTTATGTATGCATAGGCCACGTCCATCTTGTACATCATTGTGTCCTCAGCACCTGGCACATATTAGGCACGTGGTAAGTAATTGTTGGATGAATGGATGGGTAGATGGATGAGTGGATGATGAATGAATGAATGAATGAATGAATGAGGTTTTATCAGAAAATTTAGGCAGTGAGCCAGTGTTGACCCTATTATCTCCCAGTGAAGTTGGCTTAAAAAAAAAAAAAAAAGTTTAGTCAGGGGTCGAAATGAGTGATCTTTTAAGAAGATGAAAAATAATTACTAAAAAGTTCAGCTTATGGAGAGTTTTTTCTCAAAGCAGTGAAAAAACTAAGATGGTCCGTCTTTGACAGGATTTGAAACTTCGTGTTTATTGCTTAGAAATTGGCAACGTCTGCTTGCCTTGTACCAGCACTCCTACAGTGCTGCCCTCCTGAATTCAAAAGGAGTAAAGAATGGCTTATGCCAAAAAGAGTATTGGGGAAATGGGGATGGTAGCAAGTTCTAGATTTCCACTCTGCCTCCAAATTTATGACTTTAAAGTGATGCAGGAGATGGTCCTTGGTTTCTTTATAAAACAGGTCTGTGAACCTGTTTCTAGGTTGAGTTGAAAGAGGTACTTTTTGAAAATAGCTTGATTTTGGGGATTAGTCAGCTGGTTTGAGTTATTTTCTGTGCATCTGATGCTGTTTAGTTGGTTTTTATAGAGGATATGATGATGTAATTCTTGAGGGCAGATATGGAAACTTTAAAAAAAAATTCACTGATATAGGAGGCTGATAAACTGATAAAACTGCCTGTGATAAAGTTCTGTAATACAGAGGCCCAGCCCCTTGACAGTGATCCTTCATACTTCATGCCCTAAGTAGACTCTGTCTGGGAGCCCCATGAACC